GTCCTGAATTCAAAAGACCACTGTAAAAAAATACCCAAGTATTTCACAATTTTGTATGACCTTCCAAGACCACACATGTGTTTTCCCCCCCTTTGTGCAATGGGCAGGTTTCCCACATAGGAAGGCAAACAACAATCACAATTTTGACTTTAAAATTAAAAGCTATATTCGTTTGCAGATTTTACTCTCTTTTAGCCAGCCCAATAATAAGCAGCAATTCAAAAGAGAATAAATGTGGACTATACTATGCTGACCGCCTTTCTTTGTAACCTAGGAACAAAGGTTTAAGATAGAATATGAGGCCAAGTGTACTTAATAGGACAATCCTGTGCAGTTACAGGTCCTTGGCTTATGACCGTAATGGAGCCTGCCCAATATATAGTCTGTTGTTAAGGTATTTATATTTATTTAGTAGCTGGAGCAAGTGGGTTTGTGCAATGAGCCAGAACACACAATGATAGCTTACTGGTTGGAGAATGCTGGTTCCTGTGTGAGGGAATCTGCGCTGCGATTGGTTGCTGCGGGTCTGGAGGGAGAGTTTCCCTTTTCCCCTGCCTTTTTCTTCCGTATGCCCCGTGTGCTCCGTGATTTACCTCATGATGCTCCTATTTGCCTAACTATCTTGTTTGCTCTAAATATAGATGTAAAATATATTTATATAAAACTACAAGTTTGTGTCAGCGACTCTGGCTTCATTTGGAGACTGGCTGTGCAATTCCTTGACAGTCACATGTAGCAACGGCCATTAAGTGAAGCATCTCACTTAATGACCCCCCCTTCCTTTTTTGGTAGGGGTGGGGGCTTGGACAATCTAGAACTGCACCCCCTACAGTCCGATCTAAGCATCGTTCACAAAATTGTCTGCTATAACATCTTGCCTGTCAATGACTTCTTCAGCCTCAATCACAATAATACACGGGCAAACAACCGATACAGATTCAAAGTAAATCGCTCCAAACTCAATTGCAAAAAATAACGACTTCAGCAACAGAGTGGTCAACGCCTGGAGCGCATTACCCGACTCTGTTGTTACAGCCTCAAACCCTCACAGCTTCAACCTCAAGCTATCTATTGTAGACCTCACCCCATTCCTAAGAGGTCTGTAAGGGACGTGCATAAGTGCACCAGTGTGCCTACGTCCCTGTCTTACTGTCCCTATTTATCTGTATTTACCCATTTGTTCTTGTTTATGTTCATACTTATACTTGTTATCTTGTACATGTTTGGCAAACAAACAGGTAAAAATAAATAAATAAATGCAAATGAAAGTGCCAGTCATTAAGTGGAGCAAAGGGTACGGGAGGCCCTTGCAGGCCTAGCAGAGGCCGGGGCCTGTCTGCCTGCACCAGACCTCCCAAGCTGCCCACTGCCATCACTGAGGCATGATCTGGTGCTCTGCTCCCTGTCTCTTGGGGTTCCCCAGGCCTCCCAAACCTGCTATTCAACTGGCATGGGAACCTAAACCTGGTCAGGAGAAGCGACCAGTACAAGGAGTGCAGTTACAGTGAGGGAGAGAGACTCCACCAGTTGTAACTTTGAAACTTGGGTTATAAGTACCTTTTTGAGGGTCTTAACATAATTTCCATTATAAATCAAGAACTACCCATACTCAAAAGCAATTTACAGAGTTAGTTAATGGGATCTCTTCCTGCATCAATGAGTGATGGATTTCTTACTGGTATATGAAATGTTGCACTAAGTCAACCCAACAACTGTATTTCATTCAGCTGCTTGTTCCCCTTTAGTCAAGGGAAATTCACTGGAGCTGTCAAAAAAGTCAAGACAGCAGGCGCAACCTCATAATCAAAGCCTCCTCCATTTTAAATTACATTACACACATGTCAGAAAGAGTCATGGCTTCAAATATTCAGTCCAACCCACTTTCTTGATTCTTTTGGCCTCTCCTGAAAAGGCCCTTGTCTTTAATTCTCCCCATCTGCAGAGGTTGTGGAGAGGAGGGCAAGAATCCCAAAATATGAAGGAGTATGGAATATGAATATCAAGATTTGGCATTTTTGTTGGAATATTTTGTAGGAACATTGGCTTTAGAAAGCTGCACGCTTAAACAACACAGTCAATGCATATACACTAGGTTGACCTATGGATAACCTCAGCCTTTATTTTTGCTCTTAACAAATTGGGTTTTGACAGAGGCATGTGGGAAGCTACCAAGTTAAAGAGTCTTATGATATACAGTGGAATAGTTCAAATCCCAAGAAGGCTGCATGGATTCAAATGACATGCATTCTTAGGATATTTTTGTGGCAGGTATATTTAAGCTGAACCTTTAAAGAACTTTCTAAAACAAAACCGTAACTTGTATCCATAACTATAAAATTGAGCTTAAATACAAATGGGATTCTCTGAAGAAAGAAAGTGTATTAACTGCGATGGTCAAAAGAGCATTCCAGTAATTATGGTTCAGAAAAAAAGAAAAAAAAAAACTTTAAACCAGAAACGGGGAGATTTTATCCTCTACTTATGGCTGCAATACAGTTCTCAGCATTCAAAATCCCTGACGATGGTGATTGGGATTGCTGTGACTGTATTTGAGGCGATATGAACTTATCAACCCTCTTTTTAGAATTAGCACAATTTTCCATATCTGATATGGATATGTGCAGATTTGCAAATATGCATATTTGTAGTTGACTACAGTCAGGGTAAGTCCATTTTAACGAGAGCTGATAGAAATAAGTCACAGGTAGCCCTTGTTTTAAACCCCTTTGTTTAATATCCATCAAAGCTCACCATGGCACTGAAAAAAGTAACTTACGGCTAGTCCTCGCAATTATGCATCCCCATGGTCATGTGATCAAAATTTGGTTGCTTGGCAACTAGCATGTATTTACAACAGTTTCTGCATTCCGTGGTCATGTGATCACCATCTGCGACCTCACCATCTGGCTTCTGACAAGCAGAGTTAATGGGGCAAGATGGATTTGTTTAAGGACCGTGTAATTTTGTTAACGACTTAAAAAAATATGGCAAAAAACTCCCCATGACTCACTTATCAACTGCCTTGTTTAGCAATAAATAAATAAACAAACAAACAGATAAATACAATTTTAAAAATGGGTTTTGTTTCTAAAATACCATGTGCAAGGTCATATAAAAATAGGATGAATTCTTGGATGCAAATGGTCATTTGCTCCTTAACCATGACTTTAAGGGGAAAAAAAAACCTTGACCATGTGGAAAGTCCTGCCACAATTGGCCTTTCAGTTTTCCTCCACCCAAAATGGTTGTTAAGAGGACATAAGTAGTTAAAGAAAAAAAAGATCAGCTTTGAAAATGGCTTTTGCTACCAAGTAATGAAGCGATGCTATCTAAGTAAGAACTAGCCCTGGAGTGGCTCTTCTCTACTATGGCCACCATGCTCTTTTATTGGATCACAATGCAACAGGATTGAGCTAAATTGGGGGAAGTACCTGACTTGAGCACCTGAATGAAAATTTTGGGATATACTGTAAATCAATCAATCATGAGGAAATTCCGGGTCTTTAATGCTAACAAATACACAATCCCCCAATACAGACCCAAAGAGTCAAAAAAAAGGAACACGATGTATTCTTTTTTAAGGGCATGTCAAACTGTTTGTAATTTTCTGTGTGAGAGAATGCTGACATTTTATATGTGATCAGTGAGAGGATAAGCAAATGTGTCTTCAGACAGCTGTATAAACTGTAAAGGAAATATTGCAGTTGTTATGAAAGTGGAAGGGCAGTACAGAACAAGCCTAATATAGCAGAACACTTGCCTTGCGCTAGACAACAGATAAAACTTAAGCAATGCCCCTGAGAATCACAAAGGATCATATAAATAAAAAGGAGAACATTTCTAAAATAGCTCTCCTTTGGTTTAAAGGTAGCATTCTGAATTAGACTGGTACTTTGAAGAAACCAAGGAGAGCTGAAGTATTGAGTATATTGGCAGTATGCGCATGCTTTAACTTTTAGTTAGTGGTTCAAGATGTCCATGTGGTTTGTTTGGTTTTCATCTTGGTATATTATATGAATGAACTCATGCAGCATATTTAAGGGGTGGGGGGGAAAGCCTGAATCAAAAGGATAGGGCCAGGGAAGGTCTTTGTTGTCCATTGCTGTTCCTCATTTGCAAATTTTTCTGAGAAGGGTGATAGTCAGATGTCATTATTTCTCATTTGCAATGTTCCCCACTGCTTTTCATATGCCGCCACTCCACCCCCACCCCAAAAAAACCCCTGGCTGGAAACTAGGCCTATTTTAAAACTGCAATCCTTTTTGACCGCAGCTTCTTCTCCTATTATTGAAAAACTGTGAAACAATATGACCAAACAGAACTATAACAACACGATTCGCATGTAATTTAAAATCCTTCTCAGAATTTAAATGCCTTTATTTGTCAAAGGTTAGCTTCCTAGTTGTCCAGGTTGTCTGTTCTGAAATTTAAGATATAATCCTGAACTGAATGTAATTCTGGACATGGCAAGAAAGCCCTTCAGATGTCGTAAGTTCTTGATTTTCACTTGTTCTTCCTAGTCCATGCTTACTGTACATGTATCACCAAGTCTTTCTCTTCATCATTGAACTTCTGCAGCCAAAGATCATCCAGTTAGTAAGGAATTTCCTAATGTATCAGGATGTGTTTCCATTAAGTGTGACTTACATATGCACTGCCAGGTTGCCCCGTCACAAGTATGGGCCACCAACTGTTTCTGGAGGGTAGGAATAGACGTCACCTTCTACTTATCCATAGCCACTTGTCAATGTGACCTCTGTCACGATTTGGATACCTGGTGTCCAAATGAACCTAATCTAACATTTGCTACACATACAATGAAAATGAAACTATATTTACTAGCAGAAAAAATGTACAGAAAGTTCTTTAAACCCCAGTATAGGTACTCAGGACAGAATTTCAAGAAGTTAAACAAATAGGAATTCCAGCTACTGCACGGCTATTTTCATTACAATACTTCAAATCTGAATAATGATAAAAGATACGCACAGCATATATTGTATACTTATTGAAAAAACTTTTATTAGTGGCTTAGCATGTAGTGTATTTTAAAACTTTCTAACAGCCAGATCTGTTTTATTATACAAGTTACATAAGTAAAGACAAATGGGCTCACTGATCTTAATTTCATTATGAAATTAATATAGTATTTTTCATTAGATGAACCTTTCATGATTCCTATATTCCCTCTGGTAGGATCAGCCTACTTCCCTTTAATTTTAACCTAGTCACTTTGTACATCGCTAAATAGTCTATCTTTTTGACATTGCTATATTTTGTTCTTAGAAATCTACCTACTCTATCCAAATAAACATGACACTAGCTCAAATCTATTATCCTTCATTTGAAAGCATTTAATCGATTTGGTTGAACAAGAGTTCTAAGAAAATTTTCTTATATAGGCAGATTTTCAACATAGAAGGGGACTTCTGCAAATTGCCATCACTATACAATTATTCATAATGGTCCCAAGTGCTTCTAAAAATCCCCAGCCTTCAGTGTAAACATTTTTATATTTGATCTTAAGAATTTACAAAGAGAAATGTTACATTTAAAAGTCACTTTTCTCATTCTTAAGACTTATTTGTTGGATTTGATTACTGTCAAATACTTATTTCATGGAGTTCTGTGTAAAAACTATGAATGGAATTTGCACTTTGAGCCAAGAAACAGTTGGGTGTAATAAAATTACATAAGAGACAGTGCTCCAAAATTCTCATTCTTAAATAGTAAAATTAGGGTGCTATTTCAATTACTAGAGGATACTATAAAAATACTAATTCAGTTTCAGGTCCAGGATTCCTTTGCTTTCTCCAACATCTTACAGCTGCCTCTAAGAGGGGCTATAAGACCAGGTCCACCACATTATAAAATATTTTCACTCTGGATGGTAAATTAGTATAGACTGTAGTCCACCCACTACCCACAGACCTGCTATACCCAGATCATATCTTTCATTATAACTAAGCACACCGAGTACTGTAGTTGTTGATCTACTGGAGAAATGCACTGTGAGATCATGTCTATGGAAACTATCTTGAACAGACAGCTGCAGTAATCACCTCAGTTTACAGAGTTCTGAGAAATCCTCAGATATTTTTTTACAGACAACCTGGGCAATGAATGAGTGGCAGAAGCCATGCAGGAGAGAATGATGGAGAGAATCCTGGTTTTATCTTCCACCTCAAGAGGCACGTCTTAGTCCCGCTGCCGCCTAATTAGATAGCAAGTCCTCCTAGGATGTCCCTGGGCAGCTGTCAATCTCTTTTTCTCCACTTACACTCTAGCATTTGGACAGACTGAGTACCATGCCATAGATTTTGTTTGGAACATCAAGAAAAATGGGGGGAAAAGAGCTTGATGTTACCATCCTCACATGCCTTTGATCACCAGACAATAGACTTGCTTCTTAGACATCCATTTTAGGGACTGTGGCATCAACCTTCCCTAAAATCTGGGACAGATCTTAGAATCTGGCAAATAAGTCTCATCTCTCATTAAAAAAAACAACCCTTCCCCTTGGTACAAGAAACAAAGAAATGCCTTTTCGACCTGAACTTTTAGGTTTCTGCGTTAAGGCCACAAGAAAATTGGATTTTTGTTGCAACTTACAGTCTTCCTTCTGCTCTTTATTAATGACAATTAAAATTTCAGGGACAAAATAGTCAGATAACAACACTTTTATATCCCTCTAATTTCAGTGTGAGGATTAAATGCATCTGCATATACACAACATGCTTCCAAACACTAATAAAACACAAGCTATAAACAGTTATTTCTCACTGTTATTTTGATATGGTTCTCATTGTTATTGGCATTGTAATGAAAGTTAAAACTGTTTCATTCTTTGCCCAGAAAATGTGTGTCCCAAAGTGAAGTGATGGGGGAATGGATTATTAAATGGAAATGCATTTGAGGTGAAGGGAGAAAACAAAGCTTTAGGCCCCGAATGAAAAGGCAATGGAGCACTTATGAAGCCTAAAGAAGTAGAAATGATTTGTGTTAGGACTGTCGTAAAAGCATCCGCTGATGAATGGCTAATTGGGTGACCTAAATGACTTGTCCAAATATTTTTTGAACTCCCCATGTGAGCTGCTTATGTTATACTTTTAAAAAAAAGGTGGGGGGGAAAGCTAGCCTAGGGAATTTTTGTGGGCTGGGCATTGGTGAATAAGCACTATAACCCATTAGTGAATAAGAAGAACTTGTAAAAGTTGTTATTCTTTTTGCTTCAAAGACTGTCAACAATGTTGTCAATAGCTTCACCACTAGGCATTCACCTAGCACTAAATTTATCTTGGTGGGATTTTGTTCAGACCACTGAGTGATCACTGCTGTGTACCCCAGCCAAAATGGTGTGATTCAGCGAGGAGGCCGAGCGGTCAGAGCCTTCGGTGGGTCCGTTGGCGCTCTCGCTGCGTTGACAGCAAAGAATCTGCTTGAAGGTGGCACTCATTTCTTTGTCTCGGTAAGAGTAGATGATGGGGTTCATGGCAGAGTTAAATTCCGCGAGCAGCAAGAAGAACTTTTCATAGGCTAGGACATCGCATTGCGGGCAGCAAACATCAAGAAGAAGCAGAACTAATCCTGGAGTCCAGCAGATTATAAAAGCACCTGGAAAAGACAAATAAAAAATACATTTGGTCTTCTAGATATTATATAATTGCTGTCAGAATTCTGGCAGTTACCCCATTTAAATCATGAGTCTCAAGCCAAACTTCCAAAACTTAGAAAGGATTTATTGGGAGTTAACATGTCCAGCACTGCCTGGATGTAGCTGACTCTGATTCATTGTCACCCTTGACCCTGGTTTCCCCCCACCCCCTGGATGTATCGTAATTCATATTCTCCAATGGGACACATCCATAGCCAAGAGTCATCAATCATGTTCTCCAGTTAGAATTTTGCGCGGCAGAAACTTCAGTCACCTAGTTACTATCTTTGAAAACATTTATGGAATGCACTTTTGGTTTGCAAGCTGACACACTGCTTCCCTCTCCCTTTCTGTTGGCAACTCTAAAAAGACCACAGAAATATTTTATGAATTGACAATTATTATATTATATAACTGTTATATAATAATAGTTACATTTTACATAACTATTATATAACGATAATTTAAGATCGCCAATAACAACAGCACTTAGACTTATATACTACTTCATTGTAGTTTACAGCCTTTTAAAGTGGTTTACAGAGTCAGCATATTGCCCCCAACAATCTGGATCCTCATTTTACTGACCTGGAAGGCTGAGTCAACCTTCAGTCGGTCAGGATCGAACTGCTGGCAGTCAGCAGACTCAGCCTTCAATACCGCATTCTAACCATTGTGCCACCACAGCTTTAAAAAACTAAATATGCAGATTCTACATACAGACAGTAAACTTGTTGGAAACTAGTCTGGGATAAGAAAAAGTCCAGAAAGAAAAAGGAACCATTAAATATTCAAACAGCGCATTCTAACTTTTGCACTACCAGAGCTCAAAATGCTATATAATATTGCCTAGATATTATATCTTCTATCATACATTTTTTGAAGGAGCTTTGTGACATGCAAATTTTATTCTCATTTATCCATTGAAAGCCTTTGTGAACTGGACTAGATTTGATTAGTCTAGTCTATGAGGTTGCTAGGAGTCGGAAATAATTTGCTGGCACTTGAAGTCTGAGAATGACGTTCAGAATGAAGCAAGGGGATGAATCTAGATGTATTCCTCTATATATTTTAGTGAATCTCAATGTTTTGGTTTGCTTTTTAAATATATAGTTAGCCAAGGATCCTTATTAAAGAATAAGACATACAATCACCTACTTATTTGTGAATTTGAATTTGGATTACCTTTAGCAGATTAACTGATCACCTCCCAAAGTTTTTAAAAGGAACTAATACAATGGGTAGATTGGATATATGTTTTGAAGCAATTAATTCTGTAACTGAGCATTATTATTAATTATTATTAACCTTGTCCCTGCTAACTACAGTACATACCTCAATTGTATCATATCTCCCAAACAGAAACACCAAGATTGTCTGCAACTAATTATTGTCTGCAACATTGAGGACAAAGATTGGCCACTTGTACATCTGCTGAGAAGCACAAATGATCCTGTTGTCAGCTTCTTAAATCTAATATAACTTTCTTTGAATAGCTCCAGTTCATTTAAGGAATTACCAACAGCTGTGATGTTTGCACCCAGATATACTTCAAATCACCTTCAAAACCTGTTCACTGTTCATTCTTGAAAACTATAGATGCCTTTGGAGGATAACCTTAGTTTGCAAGAAGTCTGTTTGCTTGGTATATTTTATCCTTTTTGTAACATTGAAATGGCACTTCTTTACTACCTATCCATTTGCTGTTTTGTCTCCCCTCACCTCCATCCAGTTTGTTCGTTTATTACATCAATTTACATGGCTGCCCAAATCAAATCCATGACTCTGAGCGACTAACACTATACAAACAAGAACACACATGTAATCTGCAGCTGAGGTTAAAAAAAAAAAAATCCAACTCCACAACAATAAATCAGTGCAAGTGTTGTACTAGTAAAACTAACAACATATATCTTGGCCAGAGATGTCTTCAGCTAGCCAAAGTAGTGCCAAAAGGTGAATCATAACATCATAATGCAATCACCACCCTTTATATATGTTAACGCGGTGTCAAAACACAAGTATAAAAGTATCAAAATTTTGCATTGTGACACTGAAGCACAGCCCCCATTGCTTCTTTTCTGGCAAATCATAATGCACATATAAAAGGAGTCCAATTAACATGTCATGTCATAATGCAGTTTTCATCATTTGTCCTCCCATAAGCCATTCCTTATGGATGCCCATAGTCAGGCTAATATAAAGTCCACTTTAGTCATATGAATTTAGAGCCAAGGGCTTAAACTACAACTTAACAAACTCTACTTCAGTGATGGCCTACCTTTCCGTCCTCACATGCCCAAAGTGTGTGTGCACACCTGCACGTGCGTGTACTTGTGAGTGCCAGCACCCATAAGGCAATGCATGCGGGGGGCCCACGCCCCCTGCGCATGTGCACATGACCCACTGCGTGTGCACATCTCTGCGCATGCACAAAAGCTATCCAATGATCAGCTAGTAGGCGGGTTGACGGCTTGCATGCCGGCAGAGATGACACTTCCGGCACGCATGCCATAGGTTCATCATCATAGCTCTATTTGAACAATATCATTGTGATTTTTCCCTCTTTGCTGGATAGCTATTTGAAGTAATTGAAAGAACAGCCTAAGATGTATAAATATTCATGCCTTGAATTCATTACCTTACTATTCCTTATTTAGGTATCTGAAAATAACGAGAATGAAGAAAGCAAGATTCTCTCCCAGACCTCAAAGTTATTACAGGTCTATCAGCAAAGAGATCCAAGCACTGAAGAACTCGGTGCATTGTTTTAAATGTTTCACTTGTCATCGATGTTTGAAATAACTTTGTTTTCCTTCTGCCACGCATTTAAATGGTCTGTCCAGTCTTTTTAGATGTGCAGCTTATTGATTTCTTGTTCAAATCAAGTCTGTCAAGCTCAAGGGAAACCAGGAGTTTCAGACAATCCAAATAAGCATACGCTTAAGCTCGCTACAAGAATCTGACCAACTGGCCATTAAGGGAAAGAGAGGCTGGACTTAGATCTCTTGTGGGCGCACAGGGATTGGTGACTTATGATGTGTTTGACCCCTCCCTCAGGCTCAGCCTGGTCATCTTCTCCAAACAACGTTGTTGTTGTTGTTGTTGTTAGTGTTTTAATTCATTACAAGCATTGATTTCCCCTGTTTTTATGTTCAGAAGGAGGAAAGGAAATATTTGGGAATGAGGAATGCTTTAGAACAGTGGATTCAGTGGTATGTGTCTTGGGAGAGGCAGATAAATTGCAACAATCAAATGTGTAATGCTTGGGAGATGCTTAAGCTGTTCGTTAAGAGAATTTTCCAAGTAGGCCTCAACTTATTATAATTTTAAATTACAGTTTATCTTCTTCACAGTACTGGTTGCATTAAAATAGCACAGTTATTTGTAGGGATTTCAAGAACTGGATTTTAAAATTCTTAACCCCAGAGAACACTTTTCATATTCCTTTATTAATTTAAAAAATCAGAAAATTATATTAGGGCATATTCTCAGGATCTGTTTAAAAAGTAGTTACTGTATATTTAAGAAATCCAGTAATATATTCATACTGCATTCCACTAGACAGGCCTTAACTTCAGGAAGGTCGCTAGGTGTGGCTACTATATATTCAGAAACAGCACACTTCAATAACACAAAAATAGAAATCCTTGATGTTTTTACATTGCATATTCTTATGCGATAAATCCACTAGTTTTGTTTTTTATTACATTTAAATATATCACATTGTCCCTAGCTGTTATTTTGTTGACTGCACATCCTTAATTTGCTAACAGACCTATATTAAAAAATATATATACTGCTGTTATATACTGACATGTATCCATCTATCTCACAGTTTACTGCTTTTGGCCAGCATAGGAATGAAATAATTTTCTAATTGCATTTGAATAAAACTTTTGTCACATTTCTGGAAATTTCATTGTCGAAAAGACATCAAGGAAAAAAAGCAACTCAGAGAAATTCATACCATGAGTTAAAAAGCGAGGCTCTGAGCTGGGTGTGCCAATAACAACAGAGAGGCAATAAAACGAATTATGACCTATTGTACTGATTTGATTGTGGAGAATAGATTCAGAACTATTGTGCATAAGGGATGTTATTGTATCTTCCCATCCATGAGCATCTAAGGTTCAGGCACTGAACCTTCCCAACCTTAATGCTCTTGCATGTGTTACAGAAGTAATTCCATGGAGATAATTGAGGAAATGGATTTATAGAAATTAAGTGACCTTACAGCTAAACAGGTTAATATAAATTGTGTGATAGAGAACACTTGTTCCTACTGCATTCTCAAAGGTATTTCTCTGGACTGCTGTTTATCCCAAACCATAATTAACCCTGAGGTTAATACTGTGGTTTAGCCAACACCATGCCTCTGGTAAGTAATAGGTTCTTTGCAAAATTCTTATCAATCAAACAGGATCAATATCTTTCTGGTGGATGAATGAAGCAATGTTAATATAATACAAAACAAAAACATGACATGGTTAAAGGCTCTGACCCAGAGCAAAAATTTATGCTTCAATTTTAGCCAATATAAAATTTTATTCACCTCACATTTAGTGTCTGGAATATTTTATACGACTTAAATTACTTTTTTTAGTTAACAAACAGGAGTTGCTTATGCACAGAACTTTCAAGGACCAGAAGTTTTAAAAGAGGATGAGAAGGCCTTTCAGAGATAGTTACAGTCAGAAAGATATGTGAAGTTAATGGAATGGATGAATCCCAGCTGTTGTCAAAACAATTTGAAATATTTATTATTGCAAAACACACAAAGCTGCCCCTATGGATCTTATCATTGCTGAAGGCCAAAAATAAACAGGAAGTGGTTGTATTTTTCTCCTCTTTTATCAATGACACAAGAGCTCTGTGCTAGGAAATATACAGTTTGTAAAAAGAGATGTGGCAGAAAACATTTGGCTGAAATGACTAGAACTAAAAAACCAGGTGCCCT